TCATGAGAGTACTTCTCAGTCGTGTGAAAAAGTGTGAAAGTTGTATTAATAGATTCTCTGGGTCTGAAAGGAGATTTTATTATGTTTAGAGAAAATAAACCCCAGTGACGTCATGAGGGTTATCTTGGCTTGGGCCTCAAAACTACAACATTTTTAATACAAACTCTCAAAATATTCAGGGTGTGGAGTTTGACAGATTTGGTCATTTACCAGGCAGAAAGAGTCCAACAAAATGACTCAATCGTGTTGCATTATGGAAGTGTAGGACCCACTGTCTTTGGAGCTTGACCTACAGGAAATTTAAAATGAAATTCAGGATATTTTCAGCTTCTAGTGCATGATGTCTTTTTTGTAACATCTGCCTTTTGTAACCCCCCTTAACTTAACAGATGTGTAATACTAAATCGTTTTGAGTATCCCTTTGTGAGATACAAAAACACATCACCCGCAAAAATCAAAAAGAAAGATCTCTGGCTGATTTTGACAGCCACATTCATTAACAGGCTATGACTAGTGTTTTGATTTTTTTTGTTGAAATTTGTGTTTTTTCACAAAATATTTCAGTCCATTTCAGTTTTCATAGAATCACATTTATTTGTTTTATATGGACTACCATCTGTATAATAATAACAAATGAAGTCTGAATGTGATTAAAACTGTGTTTATTCATTTGTAGTTGCAGTGCTGGTTGATTTCAAGATGGTTTTAGCATGGAGAAAAAAATGTTAAAAGTAAAATGAGGTTCAATCTCTCAGTCCACCAATAAACAAAACAATTGTTGTTAAGAGCAGTACCAGTATTTTTGTCATATATGTTGGTGCGTCTTGTTCAGCCTATAGAGCTATTGCCTTTTCTTACAATTAAATACAGTTGTGTTTAATAATGTTCATACCAGATTTATTTCTGTCAGAAATACAGTCAAATCCAAACAACGGTTGATTTAACCCTCTGAGGTGTCACTTCTGTTCAGACTTCTTTCAGTCTGTGACAACAAAAGATGACATCTCTGCTTCCTTCTGTCTAAACACTGTACAAAGGTAACAAGAGCAACATTTGAGAGGAGATGACAGACGTTTCTATTCATGAGTCCCTGCTGATGAGACTGATGCCGAAATCAAACATCAAAACACTGGTATCTGTCCTTGAAGACATGATATGTTACCATCATTAACTGTGACATTTACATGTTGGAAAGCTTGCCAGTGATCCTTAGGTTCACTCCTCTTCATTTTTTATCCATTTCTCAGGCTTTAATCCTTTTTGATGCAGGAGTAACAAAATAATATCCCACAGCATAACCCAGACATCTTGAAAGGCAATGCACTGAATTAAATTGAAATCCTTTAAGGTTAGGCCAGGACTGAAGCTTAGACACTGTTACCTCTCGTTGCATGTTCTCTATGCATCATTTCAGCTTTTTGTCTGAGTCAATGTCTCCTCGTCCTGGAAATATGGATGTTCTAGTGCATTCAGGGCGGATATTCGTTTCAAGGGGTCAAAGGTCAGCATGTTCTGTGGATGAAAGGATAGCAGGATGTTAGGAGCTGTGTCACTGTCAAATTTCAGGTCTGATGGAATATTTGACATTCTGAGAATACCTTATTCACTCTCTGACACTTTGATTTGGGCTGTATGGTAAATATGACGCTACAGCAAGAAGCTTTATAGCTTAGCTTAGCTTAGCATAAAGACTGGAAACTGGGGAAACAGCTAGCCTGACTCTGCGCATAGGTAACAAAATCCACAATCCACATCAGCACCTCTAAAGCTTATTAATTATCATATTATGATCTTGTTTAATCTGCACAAAAAAGTAAAGAAATGGATTTTTAAAAAAATGGTTTATGCACCAGGTTTATGCTGTTGCCGGCAACCAGCAGAAATAAGTCTTCCTGGTTGAAAGGGTCAAACATATTGCTTAATATAAGAGGAAATTCAAGAAAAAACAAAATGAATAGTCACATTAAAAAATTAGCTAATATAAACTCCTTTCTTTCGTCATTAAGATTTAATTATCAAATTGTATTATCAACAAGCTGCTGTCTGATATTGTGTTTCTATTATTTTGCACTTACTAAAACTATATTTTCTACATTATATGGAGAGGCAAAAATAAATATACATTTACTTTAAAAGGTACTGTGAAGTCACTGGTCTCGCCCCGAGTAGGCACATTACTGTGCATTTTTTTTCTTTTTTTTTTTTTTTTTTACATCAGTTGGTAAATTAAATAGCAATCTATAAGAAAAGCTAAGGTTTTATTGCTCTGTTCTCTAGCTCAACCAGCTGACAGTTCAACATTTTCCAATACTGCATCAGTGATTCTGGTGGCTTTGTGTTGATTATCACCAGACTTCTTCTGGATTCTGAGTTACTTATCTGTTACTGTCCTGATTCCAACTCTGTTTCAGCTGACAGCGAGTTACACACCAGGAATGGACTTTCACTAATAATTAAAAATCTTTTCAAGTTTCCAATCTTACCAGCAATAGTTTTGCCCCCTGCTCAGTTATCTCTGAAAACAAAGTCAGCAATTGGGCGAGGCATGAGAGGGGGAAGTTTTTTTTGACAGTGTGACGTCAGTCGGACCATCGTCCTCTGGTGGCAAGCCAATAACTCTGAAATTACATATTATTGTCATTGAAACAAGTATAATATGAATCCATCTACCAATATGTTCTTACCGGCTAAACGTGATGGAAGCTGTGTGTTACTCACTCAAAAATTTTCCCAAGTTGATCCACTTCTGATTCACCACAGAACAACGGTCCTAAGCAAACAAAGCAATAATTGTGAGGCATGAATATCTTTACCCAAGCTGACCAACATCGTCATGCAAAGTGTCACTTCTACCAGTAGATGGAGCTACTGTGTGTATCACTGAGCTGATCTGGAAGATGATGTAGAACAGTCTGGTGTCTTTAAAGCTTTCCGCCACACATCACCTCAGGTAAACCAGTCACAAAATACTTACTATCATGTCTTGTCTCTAAATTCACTGATTATGACTTTTGCACCAACACTAGTGAAGGAGCAGGTCATTGTCCGTGAGCTGGGTTTCTGTTGGCATGGAAGAGATACCTGACCCCTCCAGGGGGCAACTGAATTTCGAGTTTGGGGCAGTCTTGAAAAACTAGTAAGGGGGTCTGACCTTTGAAGTTGAATTAAATTCTGTATTACAGCAGTTTTTTTTTTGTTTGTATGCTTTCTTGAAGAGGGGTAAGACTGAAGTAGACTAGATTTAGATTTTGCTGTAACATTGTGTCTGGCAAAGCCCTGCTGTTTTTCAACAATTCACCTCCCGAAAGCCTGAGGCTCGGAACAGATTTCCCCAGAGCCACAGATAACCTCATAATGTGATTCATTTACAGATAAAATCTGGACACTCGCATCACCAGTATGCCCTCTATAGGCAATGAGACGAGCCTAGAGGTGGAGTTTTTATTCCAAACATAACACGGAGATGTTCATATTGAATGTATTTTCAAGCTGTTTGCTGCAAATGTATTTCATTTGTTTTCACCTCATGGCAACTAAAGCGTGACTTAAAGTACAAGACGGGACAAGACTTTTGTCAATATTTAACCAAAGTCACAGTCTTTCCCTAAACTTACCTACAGTGTTTTAGTAACCCAAACCGAACACAAATAAGAGGAGAGACATCCCATATGCCCTAGCCTCCTTTCTATGATTTATGTGCAGTATACGGAATAAAGCAAGAGTTTCCTCCAAAACATATTTGTTAAATCAAATCAATATAAATCAAATGTATTTGCAAAGGTAAATGGTGGTTGTGTGTGCGTGTGTATGTGTGTGTGTGTGTATGTGTATGTGTGTGTGTGTGTGTGTGTGTGTGTGTGTGTGTGTGTGTGTGTGTGTGTGTGTGTGTGTGTGTGTCTATTAGATTTAGAAACTCTGGACTGTCTTGAGGAGTTATATGAGAAATTACAACTCACTTTGACTCAGGTCAACGTCAAAATCTAATGCACTGTCCAAAGCTTCTCTTTTCACCAAATTGTATCAAAATGTGTTTGTTACAAATACAGAGATTATAATCTCATCATAACAGACACACTAACATAAAGAACGTTAGTGTGTCTGTCTTATTTTTTTTTTTTATCTGAAAACGACTCTGCTGACTCACTTGCGTCGGAACATCTCAGCAAAGATGCAGCCGGTGCTCCAGATGTCCACAGGTGTGGCGTAACTGGACTGTAGCAGCACCTCAGGAGGGCGATACCACAGTGTCACCACCTGGGAGACACAAATATAGAGTCCATCAAAAGTAGTACATGTAGATAGTAACATTCACAGGGATCATATTAAAGTACTATACTGGTGGCTTGGCAGGTTTTGGCTTGTTAGTGATGAAAATTGCCGTAATTTAACTTCAGTGTTTCGACATAGCAGTTTACAAAACTCTCAGGTGGCCAGTTTTTTAAATACATTTCACTACAGTATGAATTTCAAGCTGTACATTGTGTTGAGCAAATGTTAACAGTCTTAGCTAAGACTGTGAGCCTGGTAAACATTAGCTACCCTCTAAACAACAACACCATGTTAGCACAATCACTGCGAACATGTCAGTATGCTCACACAGCTGCTAGGGTGGCTGTCGACTCTTAGTCTTGTTAAAACTGATCCTTTAATATGAATTCAAGGAAGCTCAATCCAAGATTTGACGTGGACGTTGCCAAAAGGATTCTGTGAAGTTGGTCGTGTCTTGTATTCACAGGGTTAATGTTGGACACTGGATGTATCATCAATGAAGAATTTAACTGCGACTTAATAGATTAGTTATCTCAGTCAAATTTTCAACGGCTAAAGGTTGATTTGTTTTTGAACTGAAATAGATGATAACCAGCAGCTGTATGAATGGTTAAAATCTAAATATCTTTGAAAAAAAAAAATGATGCTATGCTTTGAAAAAATGCTGTATAAATGACATGAAAAAGTACTGGCACTGCATGGTCCAGGTGCGTCCGTACCACAGGAGTGAGAGCCATGTGGCAGCTGTAGATCCTGGCTAGCCCAAAGTCAGCTAGCTTCACCTGGCCCTGGCTGGTTACCAGAATATTCTCTGGTTTCAGGTCTCTGTGCATCACGCGGTTAGAGTGAAGGAATGTAAGACCACACAGCAACTGCCTCATCAAGTCCTGCAAAAGAAAAAAAAAAACACACACACACGCACACACACAGGCATACTTTAAATGACTCCAAATATAAAAAAAACAGATTAACTTTCGAAATCGGGCTTCTATGCCTGACTAACAAAAGGCTCATACTGTTTCTATCTTGTGACGAATTTCACAAATTATGCAGTTTACTTTAGATACTGTTTCTCACTTTAATGCGGCCAGGAGATAAGCCGGGAGCTGGAGCTCTCTCGAGGTACGTCTTGAGGTCTTGGTCCACATGCTCAAAGACCAGAGTGACTTTAGTCTCCTGGTCTGACCTCTGGGTGGCACATACATCCATGAGCCTGGCATGTAGAATAAATACTGTGACTTCTGTGAGAGGTTTAGTCAGTGGATTACAGATGACATAGACTGAAATACTGAAAAAAATAAAAAACATTTACCTGACTACATTTGGGTGGTCAAACTGCTCCAGCCTTCTCAACAGAGCCACCTCTCTGACCGTGGAGATCGGCAGGCCATTTTGATCCGTCTGGACACGCACGCTCTTCAGAGCAACAAACTGCCCGCTCTCCGTGTCTCTGGCCTTATAAACAGTCCCGTAAGCGCCTCCTCCGATCTCTGCCACTGGTTCATACTGGATACTGGTGGCGTGGGCCATGGCCAAGCTCAAGACAGACTGAGAGACACACACAACACACAGATTAGATGCAGAAACTATGAATGCTTGTAATGAAATTAATTAATTATCTTCTTTGGTCTCACTCCCACTGTCCTACGAAAACATCCCTTGACTCAACCCTACCAAGTTCACAGCCTTTTAATAAGTAAAGAAAGTATATTTGCAACAAAAATTGAATGTGTTATCGCAACAGATAACTGTGTAGGATTCATTTATAGATTAAAAAAGAAAACAGAAGGCAACAGAAAAAATAATACGGAAAGACAAGACACAAAAACATCTGACAAAAATAATAATCCCCAAAGTCAAGCTCACAGATCTGAGATAAACAGCTGTTAAAAAGCTGCTAAAAAAACACAAATGTCAACCTTACACTGGCACCAGAGGAAAAGCCAAGTGGTCACCGAAGTAACAAGTATTTATCCTCTGGGGACCATAAAAAGCTGTACAAAATTTCAATGCAATTCATCCATTAGTTGTTGAGATATTTCAGATTGGACCAACGAAGAGAGCCACTCTGCCAGCATGGCAAACAAAAAAACAAAAACCAAAAGAACAAATAGCGTAACAGTAAAATGGGCTCTACATGAACTCTCAGTCCTGGAAAAGGATACACTTCTCTCCTCAGCCATAAAGACAGAACCGTCCACAGAGTAACACTTTGCAGAAGCTGAAATTCATTGTCGTTTCGCTCCAGACCTTTCCCATCCAAAATTTACGGGCGCTTCTCACAACAGCTCTCGTGCTTGCATCAATTTTTGAACGAATATAAAATCTATTTTCAGCCAGGCAGTTTACACATGAAAATCTATTCTACCCATGTTTTCACAAGTTCTCTAAACTCCATGAAATGTGTCTAATTTCACCTGTGGCAGCACTGCCTTTCATTTTATTCATTTAAATTTATTCAAGCTTTTGCACCCCAATGGCCTCAGCTTGTTAGTACAGTGTTGTCATTCCTGGAGCTCTTCAGTGGCTCCTCGTCTGCAGGATGCACCAGTGCAGGGAGGGGGGGGGGGGCTTCATTTAGCAATCAGTCACAGCAGCTTTCAACGTACCGAGCAATAAACCCCTGTCTCTCGTCTCTACGAAGGAGGATAACAGTTTTTTTTTTCCTGCTCAAGTTCAGTCTGTAAAACAAATATCAACCAGTGCGTAGTGGTTATGGTACTGCTGCATACGGGAGAGGCAGCATCAAAGAGAGAGATGCTGTACAGCTCAACAACCTGCTGGATGTGCCAGGGAGCTGACTGGGCCATTCTGGTTCTGTGCTGAATGTACAACATTTGCACTTACAAAAATACTGTTTCAGCTGTTTGGATTGGGTAATATGAATAAAATCTTCTAACACAGAAGGTGTCATTTTATCTTATGATATCAGTGCATATTGTGATATGATAAGATTTTCTGAAAATATGACTGACAAACTGTTTATGGATAAAATATCTGAATTGGAATGTCGAATTAAATACTTTAAAAAAAGCTTTTTAGTTTAGTTTCTAACTTTGTCTGCTGTTTGGTGCTGGGCTGGTAGCGCTGACACTGATGAGGGCAGTGAGAACAAAAACAGTGAAGTTATGGGCAGAACTGTGGAGTCAGGTGATAATTCTCTGTGGGTTCATTACTAAAAGTGACCCATTTCAAAATACAAGTAGTCATTTGACTCATATAAGTATATATATATATATATTATATATAATACTGATTGGTGCAGCTTTAACAAAATATAGACACGAAATTAAAAATCAGTATATTTCAGCCATTCTGGCAGCAGAAGGCAACTATGCTTGCAGCATACTGCACAACATTTTATGGCTACTTGTGCTGGCCTCTACAGTGAAGCCTCATAAGAGCCCTCCAGGTACTTTAGGTGCCAAGTGTTGGAAAGTGTGACATATTTTCACTCATATTCACCAAATGTTTTATAATCCACGAGCTGCAGGACAAAGTACCTGACCTCCTCAAAGAAATCAAATGACTCACTGAATGGCACGCCACTTTAAAGCAAATACACTTAACATGAGACTTTTGGCCGCCACTCGGCCAACACAGGAAGCGCCTTCAACCACTCAAACCAAACAGCTTTTTGTCCACTTGCTCATCATTTTTCAATGACTTCTCCACAAACTCCACCCATCCCTGCCGTTTCCTGCCAGGTATCATCGAGCTCCTTCCTTCCATTTGTTTAAGTCTCCGCCTGTCTGATTTGTCAAACCAATACACTTCCACTGGACATGGGGCAGCTGCCTCAGCCTGTCCCATCACCCCCACCTCTTCACCTCCAAACCTCAATTTAGATCATTTAATACACAGATCCATGGGTGTTACCTGCCCAGTTTTTATGTGATTTTGAAAAGCTTAAGAGTATCTTAAATTTAGGCTCATGTGAATATCTTCCGCTAACATGGATGGAACTGATACCACACTCAGAAAAATGTATGTGATCAAAGATGAAACAATTAGGTGATTTACTCATGAGTTGACTAACAACAAATTATTTGACAGAAATCTTTGATTTGTTTGATTCGTTTCAAATCATTTTCAAAACATTGAATGTGAGGCTTTGATGCTTTATTTTTCAAATATCAGAGTAAACTTAATGTCCTTGGGATTTTAACTGTTGGTTGGATACAATAATAGTAATCTCAATATGTCTCCTTGGGCATTTTTCACTACTTTTTTTGACATTTTATTGACAAAACAATTAATATATTATTTGAGAAAATAATCGGTTGATTATTCAGTAAAGACAATAATTGTTCGTTGCAGACATATACTTATATACAACTTAAATTTGGCTTCAAGTAGAAAATGTGTCATAACAATATCAATAAAATACTAAACTTTCAACTACCAATAGTAAACAGTGTCAGACTGTGTAAAAAAACATGATCACAGTGGACTTGTTAAGGCAGAAAAAGTGCGAAAGAGATGGAATAGGGCTGGAGTTAAATAGTTTCTGCAGAGAAAAGTACAGTAACAAAAGAGTAGAAACACAATCCACTGAAAGCCAAACACTTCAACAAGGAATTCATTCTCTCCTGTTGTATACCTCACTCCTCATTTTGTGAGGAGGAGGATTTAAGGCTGGTACTCCAAACTTTAACGTTGTAAAAACGGCTAAAGGGCATGTCTGGTCTGTAACTTTTTATAAACGTTTACTTCATGAGCCTGGAGTAAGAATACAGATAAAAGCAGAGTCACTGCTGAGTCTAACAGTGCGTACACCTTTCAGCGCTGATTTTCAAAATTATAGGATGATTTGGTGACTCATATTTACAACCTTTTGGATCTGCATGCAAATCTCACGAGAGCTGCGGTCAACTGTTCTACTAACTAAGATTTGATGTGAGCAGATATTTAAGTAAGATTCAAAACCTGACATGAGCTCTTGATATCTCAAGGTATCTATAGGCATCAATACTGTGCTAAGATACTAGTGAAGGGGCTTCGAGTTGTTATGGCCAAGTGTTTGAGTAACATGTATGCTGCCAAACCACAATTATTGAAGTGGTTAATATAAACTATTGTTGATAAGAGGAAGTGATGTTGCATTATTCATGCTGAACGCACCACATTTCTTCCTCTCATACAAGGAAAGTTGAGTCAGAGTGTCTGCGGACAAGAATCTGCCGGCATTCCTTTGTATCTGCAAAAAATCCTGCCAACAATATTCATGTGGAAACTCAACTGTGAATTACACTACAAATAAAGCTTCCTCTCCGACAAAAAAAAGAACAAACCCCAGGAATTTTTTTTCTTAACATTGCTGAATGTTTTACTTTTTCTGAGCGACAGACTTTACATCCATGACACCTTTAATAAAAATCTCTCCTTTAATTTCACTAATAAAGATCTGTGATTTTTGATTCTAAAATGACGACAAGTTTTCAACACACTTCACTGATTCATTCAGATTCCCGCATACATTTAGATGCAACCAGTGAACTATAACTTCACTACTGCAATTAACTACATACACAGTCAGAAAAATATCTGACTCTCTTTCTTTGTGGTTTTGCTACAACCACGCAGGAACCTAAGTTAATGAACTGACACTTTAAATATGAAAAAAATTGTTTCATCATTTCACAGTTTGAAATTACACATAGACAACTTGCTAAGCAATCTGTATTTTCAGAACTGTGGCTCATACACATCCGTTTTCTGACAAAGTCAAAATGAAGATGTTAAACATTTATTTTTTACAATATAAATGTTATAATACAAATGTAGAATTTCATTAAATTCACAGTTCTAAAATGCCTATATAGAACAAACTGTACAACAGTCAAACAATTTCAAAAACTGAAAAGCATTAAAGATTAATATTAATTAAAATTAGTTATGTATTTTCAATTTTAAAGGATACCTGGAAGCATTTTTTTCGTTGTTTGAAAATACAGTTTCCCAAAACTTTGCATGACAGTGCAATCTATAATAAAAAACAAAAACTACTGCATATATGTTTTGTATATATTATATGTCAAAATATACTCAGTATCTTAAAAGCTGAGGGTGATAATATCTCACTGCAGCACTACATTTTCCTTCTTTAAGACAAACTATTTTGATGATATATTGCACATACTTTCCAGATGTTGAGTGTCCCATAAAAGTGAAGCTGCAGCTGATTTTAAGGTGTTTACCATCCACAGCTCATTGTGTGAGTGCAACATTCCTCTGCAGGTTGTGTGGCAACTGCTGTGGGAGGCTGCACAGCCACAAAGGGACACAAAGTCCGACAAATACAAAAAAATACTTGAGAAGTGAGGAGGAGGAGGAGGAGGAGGAAGGGGCTGTGAAAAAGGCTGAATTTCCTGGCCTTTGATGTCAAAATGTCAAACTGCTCAAAGTTACTCTATTTTTTTGTTTTATTCCTAATAGAGCTCAAAATGGATTTTTAAAGGCTGATACCAGTATCAATATTTTATAGTTTGAGTATATTTCCTTTCTTTTTTTTTAACCAAAATGCATAATTTTCCTTATATTTGGTTACAATTATGACCAACAGTTGAAAAATAAAGTTGCCTTTTTTTGTCAACACGCATGCTGATGGCAATATATCTGTGATCAGCCAATATCTGCTGTTGAGGAACAATTATTCACTTCCTTTACTGAAGTAAAAGTACCAATACAGCAATTTAAATATACTCTCTTACAAATCCATCCTGCATGAACAATCCTAATTAAGTAAAAGTAAATAAGTAGGCTGTTCACAGTTATTATACGGTTATTTACAGGGACACCAGTTAAATCTGAGGCGCGGTGAGATGATTAATGGGAGAGGAAAAAAGATAAAACAAAGTTCTGATACACAAATCTGTTTTCTCTAATCTTTGATTTTTTTGGGAGATATTGGATAATTTGAACATTTATTGAAATGAAACCATGTGAGAAGTTTAGAGGGAAAAAATCACTATGTTGGTGGAGCTGTTAACTGAAATGTGACCCAGACTACGGACTGGTTTTTGTTAGATGTCAGAAACCAGAAAGATTGGAAACCACTGGTTTAATTTTTAATCTTTAGTAACTAGTAACTAAAGCTGTAAAACAAATGTAGAGCAGTAGAAAGTACAATATATTGTCTGAAATGAAGTTGAGAGGAAGTATCAAGTAGCAAAAAATGGAAATACTCAAGTATAGTACCTGTTCCTCAAAACTGTACTTAATTACAGTTCTTGAGTAAATGGACTAACTTACTTTCCACCAGTAAAGTCGTCCAGCAAGTTTATATGTCAGGCTCTAATCCCTGCCAGTGTCCTTGATTTCACAACAGGGCGAAACAGAACAAAACAACAATTTAGGTTGAAAATAACTGAAACTATTCCACTGCATTACAGAAATAGCCTGTTGAAAGTCTGTCACTGTCTCTTATAATGAATGATCAGGCTTGTTGTGGTCTTCATGACAAACGTCCTCTGGTTCTACAGGAAGTGGTCAGCCTGTACACGACTTGTCACCCTGAAAACATCTCCTCATTTCCTTTGCAGTGAAAGAGCAACGCACACCAACAGAAACAGACAGAGAGAGAGAGAGAGAGAGAGAGAGAGAGAGAGAGAGAGAGATTGAAGCACAACATCTGGAAGTTTCACTGACACTGAGGTCATTAACCTGTCCGTCTGTATCGGCAGCTATTGATCAACAGCAGAGTCTGTCAGTATTGATTTGTCATGCAAACGGAAGCTCACGTTTCCCCCACACTTTTCATTCATTTATGTTCTTGATCGAGTCCAAGTCGTAGCCGGGCATTGAAGGCCGGTGGGCGGAGGCGGAGAGAAGAAGCAGGGCAGAGGAGGAGGACAGACGGAAAAGCCCTCTTATATCCCGACACGTGGTGGCCCCTCCATATCTGCTCCTTTGTTAATTAAACTGGCAACAAAGTGCAGCAACAACAGGCCACACTTTTCCTCCTCGCCTACATGTTCAGTGACGTGGCGGAGGGAAACAAGCACAAGTACAGACGGGAGCGGATGAGACAGATCACCGCCTGCAACTTGCATTTCTTCCCCCACCTATAGCGCCTCACATTACATAAACGTCCGCTGCCAAAGTATCTCACACCCACAAGCGCGCGCGCGCACACACACATACACACACACACACACACACACACACACACAAACATACACGTGAATCACAATCAGTTTCATGAAAACGACAGTTGAGACAGTAGACTAACCTCGCCTGTTTCTTCTCTGTGGCAGGTACTTCAGCTCTATGAGGAGGACATGCTCATTAATCTGCCACGTATTGCCTGACTCCTACAGGAACGGGTCAGGAGTGGCAGGTCGGGTCCAGGCCGAGGTTTACAGCCCGGTGGTGGATCTGATGTGAAGAAGCCAATCAAGCGATATGATTCAGGCCTCCACTCTGTGTTTTTTTTCTTCTTCTTCCAGCCTGCACTCTTTTTGGGTTGTCGCTTCCTGTTGATTCTCGCAACTCCTGGAGGAGGCGGAGCCAAAAATATTCAGCGGCACATCATGTAGGAAGAACCTAAAGCTCTGCTGTGGTATATTAACTTTCAAGTGACAATAATCATAAAGTAATGTATATATTTTATAGAGAGAGTCGTGCTTTTTGTCTGTCTGTCTAGATACTAGAAATAAGCCTGCATGTTGTATATCACACACCTATAATTTCACTGGTAACACTTGAAGTCCCCTTATTTAGCATTTATTAGCAGTAGTCGATATAAACATATAGGCTCTTACAATTACCTTATAGTGGATAAGGTAATTGTAAGAGTGTAGTGTTTTTATTAGTTGCCTATTTGTCAGCAATTCTAACTTTTATGAAGACATGTTTTTTATTTATTATAACTATGTTTAACTATATAAATGTTTTCTTAGTTTAATTTAGTGTATTTATTTGCAAAAGTAACAAAAAACAACAAAAAACAAACAAACAAAAACCAAACATGACACCATTAAAATAGATGGTGCTGGTGAGACTGAAAAAAAACTCCAAATGGACCCATAAACATCTTATCAAATAATAGATAAAACAATAGAATCTAAAATCAAAGGTTATTGTTGAGAAAAGAAAAGAAAAAACACAATAAAGGAATTATTAATGCATCAGCACGATATGCAGAAGAAAACAGGTAAAAAAAAATATAGATTATAACTAACAATAGAATAAAAACAAGATACATGTGTCAATCAGTTGCTACTCACATGCAGACAGAAATGTCACAATATACCAAATAAATAGTAGTTTGAATGAACAAATAAGCTTTGAGCCTATTTTTGAAAACTGCACATTTTCATTTAATCTGTGACAGATTTTTAAATTCATTGTCATCAGTCTACTTCATTAATTCAATTACTCATTGGTTCATAATCTAAAATTCATCATATTTTTACTGTTGTTGGTGCAATAGAACAAACTGTAGTTACCAAAATTAAAATGGTTGTAATAAAAGAAAACAAGAAAGTGAAAGAAATGAAAGGTGGAAAAGAGTGTCCCCAAAACAGAGAAAGAAAAAGTAGGCCTAAGCGTTTACTTGAATACATCAAGATAAATGAGTGTAAGCTACTTATACATAGATTTACAAGTTTCACCGTATCTAATAATCTTCCATGTTTGTAACATAACTTCATTGTTTATTCCACAAAACATGAAGTAGGCCTTTAAAAAGAAAAGTTATGTGAGAATAAAGTGTAAAGAAAACAAAAAAAAGACCATCCTCTCCCTCATTTTCGCTGAGCTCATGTTGTTGTTAAAGTTTCATTTTGGATTAAGGGGTTGTGCCCTGGACAACTTTGCTTTATTGGACTGGGACATCTTGCAATAATAAAAAAAGAAAAAAAGAAAAATCTAACCCTCTTATATTCTACTCTGTGTATTTAAATGATTAAGATTACTAGTTTTAGATTAGTAAATTTGCTATAGAAATAAAAACAGTGCTCATTCATCATTACGGTGGCTTCTCCAATTGGCTACAGATTATAAATGTCAGGACATCCCCCACTGTTTTATGACTTCATAAACTAATATGAGCTGATGTAAGATAACACTTGGCTATAGGTTTTTACCACAGTAACACATTTAAAAATACATCATTTTAGTTATTTGTCAGACTTGTAGCCAGTGTCCGTCAGTCACAATAATCCGTCAGTCCACACTAATGCACGTCCTGCATGATGGCATCTATGCTTTCAGGAAATTGTGCATCAATCACGTGAATACATACACTTATGTATTTACTGTAACTGGCGTGCCAGGAGTTTGTGACTCAGTAATAACCAATGATAAGAGCGCACATGGAAGGCAAAGACTCATTAAAGGTTGATTTTTGTTCCTTTGTGGATGTTTATTGGTTACACACAAACTGCTTAATGTCTGCAAACTTTGAAAACAACATGTGATCGCAGAAAAACATGAATGGTGCATTTGTGGTTGTCTATAAATAAAATCCTAATTGGTCAGTTCTGGTTTATGAATTCTGGTGACCTGCACAACAGATGCATTGCAGTCTTTCAGTGCTTTTACAGTTTTCTTTCCAGCCACTACATTTGTGTTCCTGCTAGAGGGGAGGAAAGTAAGCGCTGTCTGTATCCGCACTAGGGTGGATAGGAATATAGTGCAGTGACAGTGGCATGCAGACTGTCTTGGTAGCTGGGAAAAAAAAAAGTTTAAAACAAGGCAGTGCTTCTCTCAAAATGTTAAGTTACTGTGGGGCTTTCTCCCCCACCAGCTGAAGATTAAATCACAAAGAGCCAGCACACACAAAACAAGCAGCCTGAAACTGAAGGAGCTAAATCAAATTCGGCAATCTTTACTTTTAATTAAGTCTTCTACTGTGACATGTCAAAATGTCTTCTGTGGAAAAGGCTCATTCCCATCTTGATATGTTTTTTTTACCATGTGTTTATATTGTGATGTGTGATTTTTGAGTGATGATGTGAAAAAGAAAAACAGATAATACATATTTATAAAATTAGATTCATGGTAAAGAAATAATAAGACAAGAGTAATGGAAAATATTTACAAAACACATTTTAAATACATATAAAATAAGAAATGGCACATTTAAATACTTCCATTTATAAATATAAACCCTTCTCCATCATCACATATTAAGCATTTCCACAGTCACATACACATCCTTAGATATATTATGGTTTTCGGTAACAAGAAACATTGTGATGCATTAAGTGTTCCGTTTACTGCTGTTGTATAGACCTATTTATCAATATTTTATATATTTGTATTTCAATAACAATGTCACTGGCAACAGAAAATAAATAATAAGTATTTTTCATCCACAGACCATTAAATTAGGTTATTTGAGATTTGAGATTAATATAAAAGAATAAGCAGCAGCAGCATAGAGAAAGTAAAGTGATGGCAGCTGTTTCCCAGCTGTGTGATCACTGCAGATGTGTTAAATAGTCACTGCAGTCACCTGCATCTGAACTGGTGCAGGTGATATGACCATAAGTAGGTGATAGTAAGGATGTATCGGAACATGTTTCTATCACCATAAATCTGTGTATGATAATTACTGTGGGTTTGACATGTTTGTTTACATCCTCTTTGAAGTGATGGGCTCCTTCAGGGATCTCGTTGCATCAGCTCACTCAGGACATAAAAGGGCCCGTGGCTCTGCTGTAATGTTTACTACAAAGCACTAACAGCCCTCAGACGCCGCATTATCATACAGATGATGACACACACACGCACGATCCAGTTCTGTGATGGTAGTATTTATATTCTGTGTGATGATGTGACAACCCTGACATTACTATAATTGGCCCAAATTTTTTCCAAACTGCAAAGTGTCTTTTCTGTAACACTGCCGGTTTTACCCCATGATTATCACTCAAAGACTGTAACAGATATTTCCCCTCACTATACTTCATCTGTTTCCTCCTATTGTAAACCTCAAACTGCATATTTCAAATGGGACATGTTATCTTCCACTAAACTCTAGGTTGTACTACTTTAATGCAATTCTTTATGGCACCATTAGAAACATAAAGACATGTCATCATCTCTCTGTTAATCTGTCAAGACCTTGGATCCGTCTTTATATATTTCATTTCTTTCGTTATCTTATTTTGTAGTCTTCTTTTCATATTTTAATCTGTTTAGGCTCTATTTTAAAAAAAATGGTGAGTTATTATTATTACCACCCTCTGTTGTCTTTGCATTGTGCCTGAAATGCAATGCAAAAACCAATTATATAAATGAATCACAAGAATATTCATTGAGAATTTCTGGAGATAATAAACAAATTAAACATCACTTCTTGTCAATTTCCTATAGGCAATTTCTCTAAACATTCAACAAATTGTTGATAACTAATGATTCTGAACAAAACAAAGCCACCAGGCGCTCAAGCACTTTAGATGAAAAATTGGATCTAGGCAAATCTAGAACATAATGATTATTTCATAATGATCAAATGTTTAGCCACTTTATAAAAAGAAAACTTTAATTCAGCAAACAACAAGGCTACAACGTCTTTCTTTTTGTAGCCTACTGTTTGCCTGATAATAAACAGCAGACACACTCCTCTGAAACTATTATCTGACAGATGTATGGTGACAGTGGATCTATTGAATCTATTGTGCCCAACCCCTGGAGAGTCTTTGTTCTGTTTATCAGAGTCTTATGACACCATGCATGAGGTGATGAAACACACACACACACACACACACACACACACTGGTTGTTTACAATAATTGTTCAGTCGATGAATATCAGCACGTGGCCTCCACGTCACGTGAACATCAGCACCTCGGACAGCCACCTCTATCTGCACGCCACAGCTCAGTGTGGATGGAGCTGCACGCACGAGGATGTTTTTAACGGGAAAATTGCTTCTGTGACTGTAAACATGGGGGAGTTTGTGCTTTCTGCCTGAAAATCAGATGAAATCAAGTTTTAGCATCCCGCAGATTTATGAGGAGGGAGAGACACATCGCTACAGCCCGCCATGTGAAGTGGCATTTTTATTCTCACTGATCCACGAAGGTCTTAATTTGATTCAATAATGATGATGATGATGATGATGATGATGATGATGATGATGATGATGATGATCGCTTGTTTCTAACAAGAGTTGCAAGGAAGAGTTACAGCCTGCTGTCGGCTCATCTTGTGTTTGCAGGAATCCATGTTCCTGTCGCTCCTCCTGAACGGTGGCGCAGAGATGGATGGGAAAAAGAAGGGAGAGGTGGCTGTGGCAAGTTGTCGAGGATTTGTTGCCCGTCAGATTTCTCTTTTTTTCCGCTTCCATTTCTAACGTGCAAAGCAGCTGGACTGTAACTTTGTGACTGGGCTGCCTGAGGTGGGGAGGTGTGGGGTAAAATCCGCTCGATGTGCCAGCCCAACAAAGAAAGAAAGAAAGAAAGAAAGAAAGAAAGAAAGAAAGATCCAAGGCTACAGCGAAGAAGAGGAGACAAGAGGAAACAGTAGTGAACTGGTGAACTGATGGATGCCACTGCGAGACAACAAAGGAGACACGCTTGTCACCTCCTGTAATTTCATCTCCCCTGTAGGTAAATGAGAAACTCAAACATAAATCGGATTTGACTTAGTTGTTAATAGGATTTAATATCAACCCCCCCTCAGACACCCTCTCTGCTTCTCCCTTAAGAGGAATAGACTCCCAACATTTTGCTGCAAGCCCTGGACAGCTCCTGCTGATTTAAAGCACCGAGGGGACCCGTTTGAACCCTGGGAACCCAACAAACAACCGGAGTGAAAATGTAGGCATGACAGGACGCTGCTGGACCCCACTGACTTTAATGATGGTGCTCGCGCAGTTCGTGGCTCTCAGCGTCCATTGAATCCCGAAAGAAAAAACGCCTGTGTCCATGAAAAATAATCCCTCCCTATTGGCTGGATTGCGGTGCACATGCTATAACAACAGGATATGCAAAGACCTATGGGCTGATCTAATAGCCTATCATGTTTTTCGCACGCGTTTTTGACCGAGATCTGTATTTTATTTAACAGGATGTGAACTGTGCTGTTAAACCAGGTGGATCAAATGCAATAATAATAATAATAATAATAATAATAATAATAATAATAATAATAATAATAATAATGATCTGATGGACCTACCACAGTCAAGCTGTGTGTTGTTTCACAGGGCAGTTGTGTCTGTGTAGTAAAGCTGCTGAAGAATGTTTAAGTATCGGATCCGGATGTTTTTCAATGAACTCAAAGTGTTGCTACTGATGCGCTCTGGATCAAGCAGGGGGACTGATACAGGCACAGACACACAGACCAGGATGCGAGGGCTCGCTATAGGAGGCTGTGGTTGGCCGCCGCTGAACTGCTCTCACCGGGACGACGAGGAGGAATATTACGGCTCTGACCCCCGGCCACGCAGCCTGGCATTTGAGGATAAAGAAGGAGCCAAACCCCAGGGAGGGGGCCTGGACGCTGCTTCCCTCCCGAGTCTCTCAGAGAGCGGGACGCGATCACCGCAGTGCCGGATCTGCTTCCAGGGGCCAGAGAAGGTAAAGTTATGCAATATAGGTATTAATGTGGCTTATTGTACTTGAACAAGGGGGGCGGCTTCTCAGTAGGATCCTGGTGGGTCCTACTGAGAAGCTGACCCTTCAAGGTTCTGGTGCGCTCATGGGCATCTCAGCAGGACAAAAGGCTCAACAAAACACGTGGCACTCAGATGGAGGGAGAGTCTTTAAGCAGGTCACCCTGCCATGTCCACTGCTCCTCTGGGTCCACAGAGACATCTGGCATCATCAAAATTAACTTTGAAAAGACCTTTCAGGAAAACTAATGCACCAGGCAACACACTGAGAACAGCACAGCACATTCAAATGCAAATGTTTGTGAACCGGTTTACCCACTTTATGTTCAATATTATATCTACAGATAAAGGTTTTGGAGCCAGGTGATGTGTTTTCAGTCACTTGCACAGCTCCAAATTTGGGGGACTTTTAAGAGACAGATTTAAAAAGGAATCATCCAAATCGAAGCAGCAGAGAGGAGACTACCAGAGCTGACTAGTTTGGGTCAAGTTGCAATAACACTGGATCTTACATTCCCAGTCGCTAATGAACCCGTGTCATCTTTATTTGAGCGTATCCCTCCCTGGAAAGTGGCAATGTCTTTTCCAACACTTCTGGTTTAGAAAGCAGGATTTCTGTTATGAATTAGCCAAAGGGTGATTTTCTCAAACTTGAGAAAAAAGCTCCTTCAGAGCCACAGGAGACATGATACAGCTGTTTTCACATGGCCGAGCTGTGGTCCTCAAAACAACTGAACTGGATCATGTAAAATCAGTGGAGTGTCACTTTAGGCTATTTTGCTCTGCAAACAAATTCAGTTGATGTGCCATTATACATGAATACCAAACTGTTTCAGATCATCTGTAAGTGTGCATCGAGTCTGATCTGATGCAAAGTAAAAATCTAAAATGACTACAACAACAAAAAAAGAAAAGGAAGTAATCTATCAACAGTGATCTGAAAAAAGCAGATGAAGGGCATCAGTTAAGAACAACCTGGAGAGAAGCAGGGGGAACTGTGTATTTATTATTTGAACAAGTCAATTCCTCGCAGTAATATATTCAGCATCTGATGCACAAAATTAGGCCATTTCTTTAAGAAAACAGCATTGAAGAAAAGCTTCACAGAATGATTCCTCGACATAAAAGACAATTTTTCAGCAGTTGCTTATTTATACTCATTATTATTCAGAGGGATTTGAGTGAGGGAGGCAGTATGAATTCAATAACTTGCTGAAGGACTCTTCAGCAGGAACCATTAATGCAGGGATCAAGCCTTTGATCATTCCTTTAGGCTACAGGGAGGTCAGGCACAGTACAGCTGAAGGAGAGCAGACTTGATAAATAGAAATTAAATGTTATTTTAAAAAAGAGAAGAAAAGATAACGTAATCCAAGATGTGGAGATCTGAGTGCGGCAAATCTGACGGATGAAATCAACCTTGAAGAGACAGACTTTGCTCAAAGTTTTTGTTTCCCCTCCAGATATCCAGCTGATTAAAGACCTAGCACATCACCAAGAGTCAGACAGAAAATAAATTGAGATGTGCAAGAGCCTTGTCAGTCCGGGAGCCTTAGGGAGTCTCATACTGACAACAAAAACCTGCGCCAGATGTCCTGTGATTTCTTTTGAGGTTGCAGGAAAATGACACGAGGGGAGAAGCGAGCAGAAGTTAAGCAGCAGATAGTCAAACATATGAAAATAAAAGCGTCATAATCTCTCACATTATTAAGTTTCTATTCATGTTTTGAGTGTCTGCAGCTCGGCTTATAAAGGCATGTGTGCATCCTTTGATTGGTTATGCAGTCATGGTTAGATGATACCCAGCTGAGAACATCAATAGTGAAATTTTTCTTTCAACCCAGCACATAGCTATGCATTCATTTCACGTGATGCTTGAAATATCTTCATAATAATGAGGTGCCTTGCTTTTATTCCCTAATTAGCCATAATTAACTGGAGGATCAAGTGGCAAAAGTGTTTCTCAGGATTTCTGTCCTCCAGTATTTTCTGCAAGTGTGTCGCCTTCGGAGCCGATCATTGCTACCAAAAATCCAAACACTCATCTGGACTGAGATCTGGTGACTGGGCAAGCCTGTGCAATCAGATGAATTAACTGTCATGTTTGTGGAACTATTCCTAGACAGTTCATAATGGTGAAAAACCCACTTTATTGCTGCCACGAAGGAAGAAAACTGACTGGCAGTGATGTTCAGACATGTCCTGACATTCAAATGTTCTATTTTAGGCGCCTGATTTGCTCTTTGATAAGAAGCCCCACAGCACTGTACCACCGTCAGCTTTCAGAGATTAAGCAGGCAGCTATGGATGCGTGCACTTCTACTCCATTCTTGGAGAGGTTCACATTTAGTGCAGCTACACAACTCACATTCAGTCGTCTAAAAGCTTCAAAATATTGCTCAACCTGTGTCATGCTGAGTTGTGTGTATTAGTTCATTTCATTTTCATTACAGTATGAAATTTAATCAGGAGTAAAGCCTTGTTCAGGGTTCCTCGTTACTTCCCCACAAAAAGAAAGTAACAGGTGTTTTGCAGGGCATCTAATCAGCCATTTGTGTGAGATTAATCAGTAGCGTATCACAACAGCGTGCTAAATTGCAGCAGAACTAGATTTTCCTCTCGACAGTGCTACAGCAGCTGGCGCAAAATAGTTGCTTGGCAAGACAAACAATGTTCAAAGTAGGACAAAAAGAAAGGGAAGCTGGGAAAGACAGGGAGCTTTGCAAGTGTTGGAAAGATGCTGCCAGAGAGAGGACGGAGAGCCAATAATATCTGAGATGGTTCTGAGATACAGAATCCTACGGCTGTATATACGCCACTGATGGAGACAGTTCAACGCTGCGAGGGTAGCTGCACAGGCAGTGAAAGAGGCAAACTAATGAATGGCAGAAAAAAAAGTGAAGAAAAATGATCAGTTCTTTTGTTTATAAGTCTCATATTACTGCAGCAAGCAGACAACAGCTGTATGACAGTGTTGCTTTTGAGAGAGAGTTCATTTTATCACATAACTGTCAAAGTCAAATACACTTTAGAAAATCTCAGAAAATTGTTGTAAAAAGTGAAGCTCTGGTTTTTTAAATCAACTCACAAGAACTGTAAAAGAACAGAAGCCAGTTGGCAAAAGAAAGCAAAGATTATTCGTAGCGGGGATGTGGGAGCTTTGATCTTATCACCTCAGTTTCTCTTCTCACCGGAGACGATGAACACTGTCATCGCCGATACTCTTTAGGTGTCAGAATTAAGGTTTATAAGGAAGCTCCATGTACTGTAGGTGATAAAACCATACCCTTGTGAAACACTGTTCAATTTGTGACATATACAAATTTTCATTAATTGCAGTTGATCATAATTATATATTTCATTATTATTTAATCAAACAAATTAAATAAACTAATATTAAATTTGTCTAAACCCGAAAATGTGTTGGTAACAACAAAAAAAGAAAAACTAAAGCCAACCATTGGCTAACACTTATTATTCTCTTTGAATACATACAGTATAGTCTCATATTGATGATATCTGTCAGTGTTTGCTCCAAGCTGTTGTCTCTCTTTTTTTAATCTCTTGCTTCCTGACACAAACAACACCTAATACAACGCCCTCAAACACTATCTTCAGGAGATAAAATCTGACAGTAACAGTGTCAGCGCTGGGGATTTACAAGCTGAGCCATCCATGATAACAAATTTTATCTTTATTTTTACCCTGATCTCCACCAAATCAGATCTTTTAACAGGCAGATTCAATAACAGCAGCCTTTGTGAGTCGTCTGTGTGTCTCATGCAGCTGCTGTTTGTGTCCTGCAGGGGGAGCTGTTGAGCCCCTGTCGCTGTGACGGCTCTGTGCGCTGTACTCACCAGTCCTGCCTTATCCGCTGGATCAGTGAGAGGGGCTCCTGGAGCTGTGAACTCTGCTACTTCAAGTACCAGGTCCTGGCCATCAGCACCAAGAACCCACTGCAGGTACAATCAGTCAGTCAGTGTCTCTGTCCTCTGTCCCTCTGTCTCTGTATAAACATTTAAAGGAGCTGAATGAAATCCTTGGCTCTGTGGCAGAGGGCCATGCACAAACTTAACGTTGCCAGTTTCGAGTGATTGGTGGCAGAAAAGCATAGTAATCACATTAAGGGGTCATTGATGATAAGGTGAATGTACTGGCATACAGCAGAGGCCGTGCAGTGTTTACATTACCACCACCCCCAGGATCATTTTTGGACGGATTTTGTCCAAGCAATAAGCACCCATTCCCTGCAGGAAGCACATTAGCTTTGTCTTTTGGCAGATAGAAGAGCTATTAATACTGTTTTGTTTTGTTTTTTTATGGACGAATGGAGAAGAGGAAAGTGGTGAGGATTTAAAGGAGGATGCCAAGAACAAATGCACTCATCTCAAAGAGTTGGCACGTGATACAGCCGGAGAGTGTGGCATATGGACAGCAGACCCACAGACAGTGTCACTGAATGATTTCAGCCTCTGAATGATGAAACACAGATATTATCAGATGAAATGCTTGTCCTGTCAGGTGCACTTTGGGCTGGGCGATGCCTGCATTTTACAGCAGTAACATCAACCAGTCAGTCATCTACATATGAAGAATGAAACGTTTGACCTCTTTCAAAAAGCTGCAATAACTGGAAGAAATGACATTGTACAGGATGTATGAATTTGACCAATTGATTTTTGGATTTGCATAGATATACTGTAATTTTCATCATCAATGTAAAAACTAGGCTACAGCACCATAGTTACAGCGCTTTGAATGTGTAGTGATCTGCACTCAGAAGCCCAGAGTGAACTGAGGGTAGTAAAAAATGAAGAAGAAGAAGATGTAAGCAGCCTCTCAGTTGATGAATGGCATTAAAAACCAGCACTGACACCACACTGCCGGAGGGAGCTAGCACACTAGTTTTTACTATCTATGAACTCTGATGGAAAAGAAAAGCTTCAGTATATTTGATCTTATACACAGTCTTCACAGCAGCTAGCACAAAGCAGATTACAATGTGCCTCTCATTCAACCACGTGCGATACTGGGCTGGCCATCAGGAGCAATGCAGTTTAGTGTCCTGACATGTGGAAACCAGGGCTCGAACTATCAACCCTAAACAGACAATCCTCACTATCTGCTGAGCCACAGAAGTTTTATACTGAAGAGAAAATAGCAGTTTTTTATGTTCTGTAAATCCACTTTCTACATCGTTCTTAATAAGTGGAATATCATGCATAATACACATGTTTTCATTCACTTCAACCACACTGCTTGTGCATCAGTTCCTCTCTGTTTCGAGATTTATTTAGTGTTTGTCTCAGGTGGCACAAAAACACGGAGTTCTTTCAAACAAGCGGCAGAAGTTTTAACTTGTTAGAGAAATTAGATTTCGAGACCCTACATGCTAATGAAGTAATCTGATCTATCTTATTTAGACAGACAAGTTTCTGCAATGTATCCTGCTTCAGAAAAGCAAAGAAAAGTGTGTTAAGGTTCATTATCGAGTCAGGCCTATTTTCACGTTCACAAAACCCAAACACTGTCGTTGCCTGTGAAACTCACTGATTTTACTCTGAAATCACAGAAACATTAAGGGAATGTGTGTTGCAATGAAATGTGGCTATTTGGAAGCACAGTGTCTTTAGAGGAACATCTTTGTCTTAACAACACTGTTTGTAAAGACAAACTATTATCTCATATAATCAGGAAGAATTTTACTATTTTTGGGGCCTCGGTCCATTTTTTCTGTCTGTTCCTAGTGGCAGGCCATCTCTCTGACTGTGATCGAGAAGGTGCAGATTGCAGCCATTATCCTGGGCTCTTTGTTCCTCTTCGCCAGTATCTCTTGGTTGGTGTGGTCGTCTCTCAGCCCCTCAGCCAAATGGCAGCGGCAGGACCTTCTCTTTCAGATATGCTACGGCATGTACGGCTTCATGGACATAGTTTGTATAGGTAAGATGGAGATACTGCAGCTGCCATGTTGGGTGGTAACTCTTTTATAATTTCCTAATCATTTCATAGACGTTTCCTGGTAAAAAAATGTTTAATTTGGTAGTTATTGTAAGGAATATAGCGACAGTGATTATGCATCCAGGTAATTTATTCCAATTAATTGCTACTTAGAGAGTCTTTTAGTCAGTATTTCATTTCAGAATGATTAATGAATGAATATTTACTTAGCTTTAAATAGGACAGTTCTTTCAAGTAAAGTCTTGTTTTCCCTATAATTAGTATAATGACATAGTTTCTCTCAGGAAATGTCCTATGAAATTATCAGAAGCTTTAGATCCTTTAGACAAAACAGTATTAGCAATTTAGTTTTCAGTTAAGACATTTGCATTTTTGTTAATTCTAATTGCATGGACACTAATGAAACGAATTACATTTGTTTTGCATGAAAATGTTTGTTGCGTTCTGTCGCTACCTTTTTTCTTCTTGTGAAGGGATTATGATGAACATGTGATTCACCTAGCATCAGTCCGATATACAAACAGTCTAGTATATGTAATATTTTTATTTTTGAGACCTGATAGTTCTTATTAACTGTGTACCTTCTGTAGCTTTTAGTACTCCCTGATACTCCTTCACAAACAACTGTTTGTCTATATGTAACCCTGCTTCCTGCCCCTGACCTCCCCCCTCCCTTTGTCCTTTACACCCAGGCCTTATAATCCATGAAGGATCATCTGTTTACCGGATCTTTAAGCGTTGGCAGGCTGTGAACCAGCAGTGGAAAGTGCTGAATTACGAGAAAGCGAAGGACTTAGATGACCCCATCAGTTCCGGCAGTAAAGGCGCTGATCGTGTTGAGAGGAACTCTTCTCACACTGTCACAGACAGCGGACAGAGGGCGAGTCGGCATGTCAGGACTATTCTCCACCACCACTGTGGCTATACTATTTTGCACATCCTCAGCCAGTTAAGACCCAACAACCTGCACAGCGCCAGCCATGAGGTGGTCATGAGGGTGACCACTGTATGAGGCTGGGTTATATACAGACAAATGTCCTCTGATGTTTAAGGAGGAGATAAAAGTGTTGATTGGGATTTAATACAAAGAGAATCCTAATCTGTCACATAAACACTGCCGATGACTTTTTCACAGATTCTCCCTGAGCTCAAAGTGGACAATGAGAAATATTGAGCAAGGGGAAAACATTGCTTGTGAAAATTATTGTGCTCCTTCTCATGCGACCACCACAACAATGGCCCCAGCACCCTTAATTTATTCTATGTATTCCTGATCTGGTAGATTTGATCTGTTTTTAATTGAAGCTGCGCTGATGGATCAGACATTAGAAAACCTCTAACACGTGACACAATTGCTTAAAATATACCCTTAGTGTAGATGTCATGTTTTGTAATAAAGACTTTGTTGATCTCAGAGAAAACATTGTACTTTGTATTGTATTATTGTATTATTTTAGGCAAAAAGATGGATCTTATGGGGTGTGGCTTGAAAACAAATGACACACTCTTGATATATGCAGATTGGTGCTTCCATAAATCTCACAATACAAGTCAAAAACATACTGGAAAAAAATTGATGGAACTTTAAAATACAGGAAAAAAAAAAATTAAAACATACATATTCACCCTTTTATATCATCTGGACAAAAAGTTGTCCTCTCTGGACATTTTTTTTTAAAGATGATGCAGACAAAAGGGGAGATTGCTTTGTCACATTCCTCACTCTCTCTATTCACTGTCAACAACCAAATAAAACCATATTTCAAAATGCAAAAGTCAGATTCATATTTCTTCTCATTCTGTTAGTCTATGGTGTATTTCTAGAACTGTATCAAAAAAATAGTCTCATAACTTAAACTGAGGCACAGAAGCAATTGTTCGGGCGGTTTTCTGTCTAAGTCTCTGACAAAGTAATACACCAGAATTTAACTGTAATGTGTCACAGAGCTCTTGACAGAGTGAAATGGGGAGGATATTGGAGATGACAGAGACGACATCCAGAGGGAACTGCAGCATCTCCATTCAATACACAACAGAATGAAAATAATCACTGGCTGTGTGGTGGTGTCAACACTAAAAACCAGAAGGTGAGGTTTAAGCCTACATAGTGCAAAGCAAACTTGACTGTCACTTGACATTGTGTTTTATCAATTTGTGAATGTCAAGCCAGAATGTGTGTACACTACATGATACAAATAAATGGTCTGTATATCATTATAATAATCATAATATCATTTTCACAAAGTGAGCACATGTTATCATCAATATTAAAATGGAACCCAAGTAATTCTTTAGAAGAATTAATGTTCAGTAATTTTGAAGTGTATTTCTTTTGTTTTTGAGGGTATAGGGAAAGTTGATTACATTGTTCTTAGTTTATTCATTTTAATTTTATTTGTTTATTATAAAATCTTCATCACATTCCTTGCCCAGGATTGAAATTCCCTGAATTAGGGTTAGGGTTGACAGTGGGGTCAGTTGCAGCTGTATACATTGGTGTGTCATTTTATTTTTTTTGTCAGAAACACAAATTCTCAGGGAAGTGCTTTATAATTTAAAAAAGTCTAATTTTGAAGGGGTTTAAACTATGTTTAGTGTAGAATTGTTCATAATCTGATAAATTACCTCAAGTATCCACTAAGTCAGCTAGACCATAGCCTTCATACCAATCTACCTAAAATGAAGATTTATTCTGGTAAATACATCTATTATTCCGGAGTATAGTGGTATGGGGTGAAAAATTGCTTAAATATAACATTTTCCACTATAATATTTGTTTGTGGAAATGATACAGGTAGTTTATCAATATTGAAGTCCGTGATAAGAAGAAATTTCAATCCTCCAATTTTATTGAGTAAGTGACCTGAAATACGGTACGTGTAAAATTAACAAACCTGGCAACACGGAGAGGACGCCTAGCGATGACGTATAATCGCCTGCGACTGACAACCGGTGGTGAACTGGAAACCAACGTGACTCTGTAGCAGTACACGTTCCTGTGTTTATTTAATATTTACGTGACAGACTGAACATTTTGTCGGGAGTAAAGTTTGTACTTTAATCCAACATGACGTCAATGCCGCAGAAGCGATACTACAGACAGCGAGCCCATTCAAACCCGATGGCTCACCACACGTTTGACTAGTGAGTGATGTCCATGTGTCTTAGTTTTATACCTATGTATAGTGTGGGTATTAAGGTAGTGTAGGCTACACTACATCGTGCCCGTTTCGCTTTGTGTCAGCATCTGCTAGCGTGAATGCCCCAGCTGTGCATTTATAAATGTAAAAAGAAGAAACTGGCCCATATTTACTTACTTTTTACCCCCTAGTGGCAGCGAGTCATGCTGAAAGTTGTGGTTTTATTAGCCAAGGATTTAACATATTTGTTAAATTTGTGTTTATAACACAACAGCTGCATTTAAAAAAATCATCAGCACCATCTCTTTTCAGAAACAAAATCCCTGTAATGCCGAGTAATCTAGAGAAAACACTGTCCAAAGGTTTCATACTGTTTTCTCCTCTTTCCTCCTCAGTCCTTTGTGTCCGGAGGAAATGGACTGGTCCAAGCTGTATCCAGACTTCTTCACTGGAGACCTGTGTGAGAAAGAGACCCCGCGAGTAGAGTTTGCAGACATTGGATGTGGATACGGGGGGCTTTTAGGTAGTTATGTCACTGATCCGACCACCTGCAGTGTGCACAGGTCATAGCGTTGCTCTACACTGTCCTTATGTCCACTTTGTCAATGTCTCTGTGTGTTTCTCTTGTGCATCTTTTACTTTCTTTCAGTGGAGTTATCTCCACTTTTCCCAGACAAGCTGATGCTGGGCATGGAGATCCGGGTCAAAGTGTCCGATTACGTCCGGGATCGTATCCAATCATTGCGCACCTCTGAACCTGGAAGCTACCAGAACATCGCCTGCATTCGTAGTAATGCGATGAAGTATCTCCCCAACTTCTTCTGTAAAGGACAGGTAGGTCTGCTTTTGTGCGTTTGCTGCGGACAGAAAAGATGGGAGTGTTTCTTGCTTCTGATTGGCTGCTGGGGCAGGGGATGCATAACACTCACTGATGAGCAGTCCCTTCAGGAATGTTTGTTCTTGAGATCACAAGAATTAATACAATCCAGCCAATAATTATTAACTTTCACGAGAGGTTGCAGTTTGACAAATACAGCCGGCCACTGCTCTTTCTCACATGAATTGATCCATTCCAGAAGTGTTGTTATGAGTTCGGATGTGTATGAATACAGTTTGAGTTCAAACAAGTATTTATAAAGATTTGGTTTTTCCTAGTTTTCTGTTTAAAACTCATTAAATATTTTCAAGTGTTCCAGTCGTTCTCACAATTTTATTGCAAAATAAAACAATAAGGATACAGTTAAAGTCATTTTAAGCCTCAATAATAGTAATCATGCCCCTAATGTTATTTCTGATGCCCTCTTTTCTTCTTCTGCTGTTCATTGATTTGTTACATCTAGATACATGCAAATATCAAACTGAGCACAGGCTCCAAGCTGTTCAGCTGAGCCTCACTGTTGCAGTCTTTACTTACAGTTTAATAGTGCCGCATTAATTTAGAGCACCTTCGTCATAGGTGTGTAGTTATACTGTCCAGTGTATAAAAAAGTTAATCTACACCTGCCAGCCAATCAGAATCAAGGATTCTTGGTGGCCGTGGTATAATCACTAATATAGACCTGCACACAGTTGAGATTTGATCATGTTACAGTTATACAGTTGACATTATCAATAGGACTGTAGGTAAACTGGTAACAATGTAGATGTGTCCTGTGTTGTCTAAGTAATCCAAGACATTAAGTTGCTGATGTCATTATGTAGTTGTTGAGCTCTATGCCCATTGCTAGTGTGGTCTGACAGACGATGCATACTGGTTCATGTTGGCAAGTGCTGCACAGACTGTGTCTGTGTCTCAAATCAGATACTTCAGTCAGTAGACTGACATGTAGTACATTGTGAATACAGAATACTTTGTGGTGTAGCGTGTGTATTTCAACAGGGTAGTGTTGTCCCACATCAAACACCGCCATTGTGCACTCACTGGAAATGACGATTGCAACGCGCAACCGTGATTGTCACTCGCTCGCCTGCCGGCTGCTTTGCTCACTTGACATGAATTGAACGTTTTACAGTCCTGTGTGCCCCCGGTGTCATGTGACGTGGAAATTCAGACACCGCCGGCACTGATGACGTGTCCTCATCACTGCAGCACTCCACTGAGTGGCCAGACGTGAGCCTCTCCTCAGTGAAAGTCTGAGAAAAAGCTAAACCTAAAAGACTCTCAGACTGTGAGGAACAAGGTTATCTGATCTGATGAAACCAAGAATGAACAGTTTGGCCTCGATTCTAAGCGCTCATCACCTGCCCAATACCATCCAAATGGTGCAGCCCTGTGGTGGCAGCATCATGCTGTGGTGGTGTTTTACAGCAGCAGGGACAGAGAGACTGGTCAGGGTTGAGAGAACAGAGTAAAGTACAGAGCGCTCAGACTGGGCTGAAGGTTCACCCTCCAACATAATAACCCAAGCACATGGACAAGACAATACAGGAGTGGCTTAGGAACAACTCTGTGAATGTCCTTGAGTGACCCAGCCAGATCCCTGACTTGAACTCAATTGAACATCTCTGGAGAGACCTGAAAATGGATGTACGCTGGCGTTCTGCAGAGAAAAAGGGCAGAAGATTCTCTGTTTTTGCTTTGTCAGCATGGAGTTTTGATTGTAGATTGATGAGGAAAAGGATTAATTTAAACGATTTTAGCAACATAACAAAATGTGAAAAAAGTTACGGGGTCTGAATACTTTCTGAATGCACTTGTATATAGAAAAATGCAGAATATGATGTAAATGTATCCAAATATTGTTGACTCCCCTGAATTTATTCCTACACAAAAAGCCCTGCAGTTCTTTAATAGTTTATCCGGCATAGCCAATAATAACCTTAAATTCAAGCTGACAGTCCATCATGGCACTGCCAAGGTAAAAAGAATTTGAGGCCAAACGTTAAAAATAATTACTTTCCACATGTTTGACATATGGACTGAATTTAATTATACTGATTGCTCAATAAATCTAGGATTTCACAACAATGGGGTTATTGACTGACACGCAAGGCATCGCATCAGCTGAGTAAGGAGCAGTGCAAAACGGCATTTATCCGTTCCAATTAGCTGCGGTAATCTATGACTTGTTGAAACTCGCATTAGATTACACAGTGGGCTTAGTATACCAGGGTTAATTTAGGTACACTGGATAAAAAACTTCACCTCAAATGCCCTGAGAGAGTATAAACTAAGAAATGAACACAGGAAAGTAGTTGCTGTAACACTGACACATTTATGGAAAGCATATTACAAAGTTGTTTCAAATAAAAACACATACATTGATTTCATTTTTCTAAAGTGCCCTTTAAATAATATGGCTATTATTTGTACAGCTTGAGCTGAGGCTTCTTGCCAAGTTGAGATTTGTAGTATGCGAGAGGAACTCTGTCCAATTTGAACAAAGAACTTTGGCTTGAGTTTGCATTGAGATTCAGGTGTTTTATTCTACAGACAGCGTCACTCCCGTCAACTAATTCATAAACCACATCTCTTAAATCATGTGAATTTACCCAAGTTGAACATTTTTCCAGCATCTTTAGTATTAGTTGTCTTCCTCACTCATGATTAGAACAAAACTGTCTTCAAGAGCCAGATTTCTTCAAAGTGGAGAAATAAAAGACGACCACCCAGACTACTGCTCAAAATTTAGTCCCAATCCCTCTCACATGCATGAATTGATTCAAGTGTTGAAACAGCATATTCTAAAGACGTGACATACTTTTCTATTTTTTTCCCCTCATCTTAGCAGGTTTTGTAACCCAAAAATGATTCAAAGTGTAAAGGTTTTTCCATCTTCCATCAGCGCTGAAGAGGCCCCTGAGGCTGCAGCAGTCCCCACTCATTATCCCCACATCTTTCCGTCTATACCTGACATTATTTATTTTAACTAATAAAAAGTTTCTGGAATAGTTTTTAATGTATCAGCCAGACTAATATCAATGGAGCCTGCACTTGTACACTTGTCAAAAAACAGAGACATGGGGGGAACTTTATGGAGAAAAAAAAATCGAGGGAAATTCCAGTTTTGCAATCCACGCTGCTTAACAATCAACCACAAAATGTTAAGGAGGCCACATTTAAGCGATGACATTTAAACATTATAGAACCATACTATGAATGTAGATAAAAAGTTTAGTTTTGATCTTGTGTTTGAGAATGACTAGAGTTAAAAGGAAACATTTTTTTTTCTGTACATGCTTCACTGTTTCTGTTTGTTCCCTCTTTCTTTCAGCTCAGTAAGATGTTCTTCCTCTTCCCTGACCCGCACTTTAAGAAGACCAAGCACAAATGGAGGATCATTAGTCCCACGTTGCTGGCAGAGTATGCCTACACACTGAGAGTCGAGGTATGTACATGAGTAAGACCCATTGCAGCTAGTGGTAAAATAATTAGTTGATCAACAAAAATTTAATTGAGGATAATTTTGATAATTGTTTATGTTATTTTTTTATACAAAAGTTTCATATATTCACTGGTTTCAGCTTCTGAAATCTCACCAGAGGTGACATGTTGTATATTGTAGTAAACTGAAAACCTTTGGGTCTGGAACTGTGTTACTTCAAAGTTACCTCTGAGAAAGTACATTTCTGACATTTTATGTAATAAGAAATAATAGATTAATTGCGTAAATGATGACAGGTTAATTAATGGTGAAAATAGTTCCTAGTTGGAGCACTAGTTGCAGCCAAGTTCACACATAGAATTACTGCTTCTATCTGTGGTGTTTGTCTCGACTGAATCATTTTTTAACTTTTGGATGAACAGAAAAAAATTGTGAATTACAATATGAGTATAGACTTGTTTTATAGGGTCAGGTCGGCCTAAGTACAGGAAAAAAACCTCTTGTCGTCATCTTATCAGTCGATAGCAGTATGCAGAAATCCATGAATTCACTGAAATAAAATTGAGCAACTGGTGTGGCCTGCAGCTGGTTGATGTCTGTACACACCCTGCTCCGGCCTGCCACAGCTGTCAGGGCAGCAGTGGGACATTTGAATAGGGTGCAAGCGTTGATGGAGGTTGTAGGAAACAATGGAAGGCTTGTGTCTAAATTTGGCTTTATCACTTTAACTCTGGCATTTGTGTGTGTGTGTGTGTGTGTGTGTGTGTGTGTGTGTGTGTGTGTGTGTGTGTGTGTGTGTGTGTGTGTGTGTGTGTGTGTGTAAAGTTCTGCAAGGGCCTTCAGCATTGGCACACAGCTGTAACTGTGCTGGTGGGTGGGGAAGCTGTCAAGAAAGTGCTCATTTATAGAGGCATTTTCACATCAAAATTGACCTGAGTCAGTTGTTTATAAGGGACTATCTTTTAAATCTAAATTGTTGTCAGACTACACCTGAAAGAGGAAACAGGTGTGATTAACACGAATCTGTGCCGACAACACACAGACACACACGCACTGGTGTGGAAATCTGTGCCATTGCTGATTTTTCTAAGAAATCTTTGTTCTAGTAATGTTATCTGTACAGCCTCCAAAGTAAACTACAGTAACAGGTGATTAACCTCTGTGTTGTCTGTAGGTTATTTTTATCTTTTTAACATGGACCATTGCTCTCCAGAGGTGATGAAGAAACCACTTAACTCTGAAGCTGAAATGTTTAAAAATGCTAAAAAAGATTAAAAAGAAGTAAAAAAAAAAAAAAAAAAAAAAAAAAAAATCTGAGGACAAAACCGTTCGTATTTCATTTTCTTTATCATTGTTATTATTAAATGGATCCATGTTCAGCCACCAGTGATGCATGGTTAACTTATTTCATTCCCAGAAGTGTGTTCATAACCTCGCATGTTTGTCTGGTCATATCAGGGTTTGGTGTATACCATCACAGATGTGGAGGAAGTCCACCTCTGGATGGTGAAGCACTTCACTGAACATCCACTGTTTACACGTGTCCCTGATGAAGAACTGGTACGTTGACAAGGAGCTTTTCATCTCTGTGTTTAAGGATCATGACAACATTTATCTGCTTCTTGGAGTAAAAGAGGTCAATTCATGATCTAAAATTCTTTGAAGGGATTAGTCTGAGATTTTGGGACATACACTTCAGATGAGAAACTGAATCCCACTCTCATTTGTCTACATTTCATATGTAGCTACATCCAGCAGCTAGTCAGCTTAGCTTAGACATTCACACGATGTTAGCAGAATGGGAAGGACAGAAAAACCTCCTTGAAACAGGGGGAAACAGCTGGTCTGGCTCTGCTCTCTGTGAGGTAACAAAACCTGCCCACCAGCACGTCTGAAGCTCACTAATTAAGATGCTACATCTTGTTTGTTTAATCCTTACAAAGACCAGAGAGTAAAAACAATAGGTCACCGTTTTACTTACGGGGACCAGTATTGGGACCAGTAACTTCTCAGAGTCTTCTCAGGTTATGTTGCAGCTGCTCTGGCTAAGCTAAGTTAGCCATCTGCCAGTGGTAGCTTCATATTTGCTGTACAGACATGAGTGGTATGAAACTTCTCATCTAACGTGCAGGAAGAAAGCTGATAAACATATTTCCCAAAATGTCTAAGTATTCCTTTCAATTAGCTGAATCACTTGTTTGTTGATATTTGGTTTCACTTTGCTAACTAGATCCTTCGCACAAGAGGGATATCGTAGCTGTCAGAAATTCTTGACATCTCCAACTCAGAATTACATCTGCGACTGTCGAACTACTACGACAGTCAGTCAGCATGAGACAAAATAAGTTTTGTTTAGTTACTTTTTTTAATACTTAATATTTTTAAGTAATATTAAGTTTAATTGAGTTTACTTTCTCTGCATCTCTTAATGTGAATGTGTTCAATATGCTTAAAGAAACGATCTTCTCTTGGCAGGTTGGCGACATCATCATAACTCGTTTGGGTACATGTACAGAAGAAGGAAAGAAAGTGCAGAGAAACGGAGGGAAGAATTTCCTCGCAGTTTTCCGGAGGATTGAGGATTCAAACTAAGACCAAACAGTTTGGACGTGCAGGAAGCTGGAATAATGGTCTTACGCAGTCATTCAGACATGGACTGCATGGGTGATACTGCTCTGTGGAGAGGCTGTGGTTTGTTCCCCAGGCAGATGAACAGTGGTGTTTTTTTTTTTTTTTTTTCTGGAATATATGAACAAACATTTACATCATTTCCTGACAGAGGATTTGTTTGAGTTTTTTTTTTTTTTCTTTTTTTCACATAATGTACATATTTCATTCCTCAGCTCACAAAAGACAGCACAAGGCACAAGGCAAGTAAATCATAAATGGATCTCTTCAGACTAGACTTGCAAGCTCTTTTGTCAAGGTTTTTTTTAATTATTGCCTCTTTTTAAAAAAAATATTTTCTTCCATTTGTTTTGCCAGAATTAACGGTGCTGTTTTGGATTTGCTGTAAATTCCTGCAGTTAAACTGTAATTCTTTCAGTAAAACAACTTTACTGTTCATTTACACACTTTTGTAAATGAACTGAAACAACTATATATTGTAATTTTGTGTTGCAGTTATTTTGGGACCTTTATCACAAAACTGGACGACGAAGTTCGCTATTAAAATAAATCCCAGATTAGTTGTTTTTAACTTCAGTTGATGTCCTAGATTTGAAGAGGAGTTTAGGTTTTACTGAGCACAGATATCCAGCTATCTTTTGTAATCTTGCCTCAAGAGACAGAGCCTTGGTTTTTCCTATTAATTTGAAAGCAGTTTTAAATGACTCATTGTGATTATATGAACTTCCTGGTATTCATTCACAGTATTGGCGACTGAATCTGAATTGGATTACAGAATTGCTTGTTTGCCATTCTTGTTAGTCATTATATGGTGTAAAAATAAACCAGTGTGTTGCGGCACGTCCTATATGAATTGAATGCAGCACACTGTGCTCAAATTCAAAGGAATGACTGTGAAATAGTCAAGTTTTTAGATGATAGATGATCGTTTAATTACAGCTTTTATACTTAAAGACACTTGCAGATTACTTAATTATTCTTTCGAATGTAGTTTAAATTTAATTCAATTATCACTTATTATCTGTCTGGTATTATCTTCTAGACATGTCTGGTATGGATCAAAAGAGTTTGTAACAGAAACTGTGGCTTTCTCTGCTCATTTCATGATTTTAGCTGTATATTACACATTGGTAGTTTTGTCTGTCAGGAGTTTAGAAACGGGACAGTGCAGGTTTGAAGCTCTTTTGCTGCTGCAGGGGGTGGTGATTAAGAACAGGACAGCACATGCCTTAATGATAGAAACCCAGACACTGGAAAACTTTAGATGATTGCAGAGAGTAATTGGAGGACTCAAACTAAAAATCATATTAATAATATTAAAGAACACTTCACTTTTGTGCTCTTTACTAAGGTTACAGTAAAATTTGTTTTCTGAAACTTTCCAAATCATATAGCAGTATACCAAATCACAGTTTGTGCATTTTGTCCTTTTCATAATAACAACTTTTCAATCGATTTCTTTTGCACAACTCCTAAGTGATATAAAAATATAGATTACCTCCAGTATTGAGAGAAGAATTGTCCTGAAACAGCATCTGTGTCTGTGCAGTATGAAGACAGTATATTTAATTTTCTCATCTCTCAATAGCCTTAGGTATACAACACAATATGTGCTTATTTCCCATGAGCATGTTCACCTAAGTTCATCTGTGAACACATGATGAACATAAATGTAAAATACACTCATACAGCAGTATTTGCTCAGACCCGTAATGAAAACAGTTGAAACTCTTGATAGTGAAGCATTCTTCCTCTGTACTCATCTGTTATTTATTGGATAGCTATAAAATAATTAGTTAAGCCATGAGGGGAGAAAATAATTGCTCAATTAACATTTTTATCATAAGGATATGGAGATGAGTGTGTCATGTACAGCATTAATCATTAAATAATAAATGGTTTGACTGACAGAAACAAAGCAGGCATAAATAGTTGCTATCTAGCAGTGATGTTCACATTCAAAACCTTTCCCAAAACAACCACACAAAATGATAATGTTTTCACATCACCTATGTTATATTTTATTGTGGACAAGATGGGTTGTAATCATTACAATACCATGTTCATCATATCACAAAAACAGAAATAATCTCTTGACTCTGTGGCCAAAAGAAAAGAAAACTTGACTCAATGTCCAATTACTCTGTGTTTCTGGAGCTTTTTGCCACATCTCATGGCCCTCCATAACAAGCGAGCAACTACATGTGCTGAGGAGGCCCACCAGATGTGACTGAAAGCTTTAGAAATTCCAAGTAAGTTTACCTTGTGTTGATAAGTTTTTACCAGACTGTTCTTCTCAAGGTTAATTTCCTCAAGCCTACATATTCTTTGATAAATACAGGAAGTATTCACAGAATCTTTTATGGTGTGAAAGTGTTAACCAGTCTAGTCTAGTGAGCCGCTGTTCTGTTATCACTTATTATTGCCATGTGGTAACAAAGCCTGTTGAGTCAGCCCATGTAACATTTTAGTACCATCAGGTCATCCAATAAGAGTTTAATTAAATGCACTGCAGGGGAAACACAGAGAGAGAAACTTAATGATTAGCATTTGGCAAAACTAGTAAAGCAATGTAGATGATGCATTTGCCTCATACCCAAAGAATTTGTTGCACCTGAACGTCAGAATGTTATCGAGGTCAAAGGTTAATGCCCCTCTGAACGTGTTTACAGAGGCAGCCATCCACCACTGTTCCAACCATTTTTATACTGTGATGTGTTTAAACTTAAGTCACTAATTTCATTGTCACCTTCCTTCTCTTTTGCAAATGATTTGGCTTCAAGCTGCTCTCACTCCTGCCATGACGTGTTAAAGCAGTACAGTTTGATATTGTGAGAAATACGCTTATTTACTTTCTTGGTGAGAATTAGACGAGAAGATTGATATGAAAAAGATTTACCACCATTACCTGTGTGATAAAAGTTACAGGCATGAGCAGGTTAGCTTGGCTTAGCTTATGTTAGCTAAGTATAACTTAGTGCAGACTGGAAACATGGGGAATGGGGTAGCTAGCTAGGTAACACAATCCGCCCACCAGCAGCCGGTATGGTGAAGTTATGTGCTGGACAATTTCTTGCACTGGAGCAGGATCTTCCTGAAATAATACAACATAAAACCACAATTTGTTTTTACACAGTGGATTTTGTGCAAATTAAACAAACAAGATTTAACACATTTATTGTTGAGCTTTAGGTGCAGGCAGGTGGAGTTGGTGCTGTACCTGACTGTTCGCTTTATACTTATAGTATAACAGATGTATCAGTGTTCTCATATAACTCTCAACTAACTGTAATTCCTCAGTTTTCATCCTCCTAGACTTTGTATAAAGCCGTTGATACTGTTAACCACCAGACTCCAGCACAAGTCAAGAATACTATCTCTGGATGTGTACTCTCATCACTTGCATCGTAAATGTCCAACTGAGCTCTACATGTATCACGAAGACGGTCTCTAAACTGTCTCCACTGAAGTTTCCGATACTGCTCTTCTACATTCATAATACATACCCCACAACATTTTCTACTTTTCCAAGCCACTGGCACCTGACTACATTTTCTTTTCCTCCCTGATACTGAGATTGAGGTGTGTACAATATCTCTGCTTCCTAGTTGAGGTCTCCAGCTGGATGTCTGCCCGCCACCTCAAGATCAGCCTAAACCAGACTGAGCTGTTGTACTTCCACAGAAAAGCTTGCCTTGTTCGTTCCCACAGCATTAACAACCCCGGTGAGATTCTACACAACCACATCAGAGCGACTCTGCCACCCTGCAGGCTTGAATTCAGCATCAAATCCTTTCTTACTTGGGCTTTTCAGGTCTGGACTAATGAGAAACCACTCCTGGCCTGAGGTTCCAACCTCATTTTTTCAGTCCCTTCAACCCAACAAAGAAGAACTGTTCACTTTGTATTAATCTTCTCCCAATTGTCCTTGGTTCACCCCATACTGCTTGTGACTTCTAAGGAGAAAAAATGATGATCGCTGAACTTCAGACAGCAGCCTGTACCCCTTCCCTGCTATGACTTTATCATTTCTCTACCTAAAATCTCCCCTCGGGCAAAAATAACTTCTCTGCTTAAGTGACAGCTGAAGAATCACTCCCTATCATCCTGTCATTTGTTGCAGTCTCATCACTTCAAGAAACATTCATGTCATATTTCAGTTTTCTCCTCCCACCTTTTATGCTGGGCTTTATTAAAAAAAATATATACTTTTTTTCCCTTATATTTGCCTTGCACCTTATTTTTCATGGGATAATTTAAGGTTACAGAAATTACATGTAACATCCTGCATCAGGGTCCTACTATCTTTTCTGCTGATATGTTATTACAATGGCGATGATGGATTTAAAACTTGCTCCACAAAAGAACATTTAATTGGACACTGGAAAAAAAATGTGTCTTTTAAAATAGAAATGTAGTAGAAATTAGTTTTGTAAATGGAAACAGAAGCCAATGACACAGTCACTTCAGGCTTTGGTTCTACCCTGGTGTTTGTTGCTTTGTCCCCTTTCATTTCAAACAAACTTTTTTCAGGGGTAAAATCAATCACTTCTATGTAAGAAAGTCCAAAGGCACAGGTATCTCTTTCATTCAGGCTTCATGCTGCACAGTATCTTGGTACTAGTTTCCATTACATTTAATGAAGCAAACTCTTTGAAAACCTTGACGTCAAAAAAAAAAAAAAATCTTAAAGTCAGAAGAGTAAACCAACCCTCTGAGAAAGAGTCAAATTAAGGCAATTTCCGTCACAAGAGTCGTACCCACTATTGAAACAATACAGTTCTCTTTATTGCAAGTCCGGTTTATGTCATATGTATAAGATGAATAGTAGGAAATATGATCTGTTCAAACTTTTCAAAGTAAACTTTGCTGCTGATGGACACCAGTAATTAACTTGAAGTGGAGAGCAGCTGCAGCCCTCTGTAACAGTTTACACCTGCTGCTCATGACATCATGACTGCTTCATTATTTAAGTCAGTTTGCATCAGATCACCATAATGACTGCCTGCTGAAGATAACCTGCTGCATGCTGGCTATAGGTTAGAGTGAATCTGTACTTTGTCCATTGTATAACAAAGTGAGTTTGTAGCTCTGTTTGTCTTGGGAGCGACAAACAG